TAATCTATGAGATACAATTAATTAAATTATTGTATCACAGCCATATAGTTGTCATATGCTCATGCGCAGTGAGCACAATTTTTTTAGATGAGATGCATGCATGTTTGTAAAATGAATGATCAAAGCTATTATCAGGCATTATTCACATAGTTTGGTATACTGGGACAAATTACCCCAGTTTGTGAACATAAACCTGGTATTCTCTGTTTTCTTTCAGGATGAGGCATGATTACCATATATTTAAAGCAGTAGCAGCCAACAATAATCCCTCTTGCTGGTGTAGAACTTAAAGGGACACTCTAAGCGCCAAAACCACTTTGTTGTAATGTAGTGGTTTTGGTGCAGAGACCCTGTCCCTTTTCTCAGGCAATACAAAACATTACCATTTCAGAGAAATAAAAATGTGTATATTTGCCAGGGAACATACCGCTAGTGACTGTTAGAATGACAGTCAGAGGTACAAGATGACTGTGAACATTGTAGATTCACTGCTTTTTAAAGGAACACTGCAGGCACTATAACATCATCTTATTTGAGTTCTTATAATGCCTTCATTCCTACCCCCTGCCCCACTTTATTCCTACTCTCCCCAAACCTTTTATTTTAATAATTAGAAAGCTTGGAAGAATGCCTTCAAGCCACACCTCCAAGATCTCTGGATATGAAAGCCAAGACTGTTACTTCCTGGCTCTCATTCCCTGTATTCAATGATTCTCTATTTCAGAATCATTGTCACATTGCAGCGAGTGACACACTTGCGCCTAAGGTCCCTAAAGCTACTCTATGAAGAGCATTTGATTGGACGATCATTCTGGAGGCACACTTCCAGGATTACTTTAAACAAGGAGGACACTACAGCCGTGCTAAGGAAAAATAGCTGTCTTGGAGAATCTTTTCAGTTCAGCTATTTTGGCCCTAAATTTGTATTCCTCGCAAAATTAACATTAGTAAAGAGTACAGGAGAACACACATTAGAATATATCTTCAGACTACACTAAAATCCTGCAAGGCCATTTGAAGTATATATTCCTGGCTTTACTATATGAACTGTGTTGAGGCAAAACAATGTGTAGATTTTGCAGCCTTTTTAAAAATCTACATTCTCAAAAATGCCAGCATTTTTCATTCAACTGTCTGATATTGATGCATTTGATCATTTCTATTTTTTCATTGTATGTTCCAAAGAAATGGCTATGGTATAATAACATTGGGTATAGTATAATAACACTTTATACTCTTCCAATATTTTTAAAAATGAAGAACAAATAAATCATAAAGCAAAATTCTTTACATTTACCTAATTTACATTTTTACTTCAACAGCATGAACAAAATTGATGTATTTCATAATTTTTCTTGGCATCCTCTTAATATTTTAGCATCCTTTTTTTTTCCTAGGTAACTGAATCAAGTAACGAGCACAAGCCTGATAGTTTTGTAAACCCTGTTTATGCAGTTAATACAACAGAGACTACAGTGAACACAGAAGCACCACAACCGGTTAGTATTTCTTTTTTTCTCAATTGGCACAGTATTAGTACTGTTTATATTAAAAAAAACACACAAAAAACCTAATAATAGTGCACTAACATTACTGCACTATTTTGTTTTGTGCTCTTTCATGAGTATAAACACATCGCTGTTTAGAGGATATTCAGAATATGAGATTCTGACACTGTTTTTTATAAGTATTATTTATGTGCTTTTTGGTCTTTTTTTTAAGGTAAAGGAACACTTTGTTTCTATTTAGCGATTGTACAAGGGCTTTTAGTGCACTCACTATAATCTTTTTGCGCTATCACCATTTGTAGCACTTTGTATTTCTACGTCTTCATTTTATATTCGACTAGTATCTGAGCAAATGTTCAATCTATATTATTTTTATAATTACTGACTGTGTCACACATGCATATCTCCAGCAATATAATATATATATTGGATCTTTAAATGTTCTTCAATATTTATTCCTTTGTCTAACCACTTAATTATAACCAAATGCATTTTTAGGAAACAAAGTGGAGCTTCTTCAAAAGGAAAATTAAACAAAGCACAAACTTTGAAAATCCAATATATTCAGAAGTAAGTGAGCATGTAAAGATATTTCTTAACTCCTTATCCTTGATCCCTGACTCTTGCACTTTGTGTTTACATGGGCCTTATTTGTTCTGCATTGCAAAGTAGCAAAAAATTAACATAAACGCACAAAAGTAAGCAATGCGTTAAAACTCCCACTACTCATGGGTGGCAGCAATGGCTACAGTATCAGCTGATGTATAATGTAGCCATTGATGCCACCCAAAAGCAGTATTAAAAATAGTGGCAAGAAAAATAATATCAGGAAGTATTACTTTACTGAGAGGGTAGTGGATGCATGGAATAGCCTTCCAGCTGAAGTGGTAGAGGTTAATACAGTAAAGGAGTTTAAGCATGCGTGGGATAGGCATAAGGCTATCCTAACTATAAGATAAGACTAGGGACTAATGAAAGTATTTAGAAAATTGGGAAGACTAGATGGGCTGAATGGTTCTTATCTGCCGTCACATTCTATGTTTCTATGTTTCTATAATATATCTCATATATAGAAAAAATATAGAAATATATAAGAAAATAAAAGAAAACATACTAAGACACACTGGCAACACAAAAATACGTAGACAAAGAAAGAGAATGGAGAGGTTGACATAAAGCAAAAGTAAAAGATGTCAGCGAAGGTTTAGGATGTTCAGGTTTTGAAGTTTGCAAAGATTCGGCGAACATTTACAATTTTTCATGCAGAATAAATGTTAGTTGTTCCTTTACTTCAGTGCCCTTCTACCCATTTCTTCTTCAATTTAGTTTCGGATTGCTAATTTTGGGCTAACATAGGCAAGCTGAAAAGTTAAACCTTATACACAATTCCTTGTTTATCGAATAAATTATAATGTATTCTCCTGTTCCTTCCCTTTTCATCATGTTGGCCCTATGCTTGTCTGTCTTTTGGTACCGCCTTGCCCATCTATATACATTCTTTTTACTCCTTTCTGCTACTTCATCCTCCTCTCTTCCCGACATCTTCTAATCTTTCTTTTCTTATGGCCTTTCTGAGTGATATTGCATTTCTAAAATGAAATATATTCCATTCTAAACTTAAAGGGACACTATAGTCACCTGAACAACTTTAGCTTAATAAAGCAGTTTTGGTGTATAGAACATGCCCCTGTAGCCTCACTGCTCAAATCTCTGCCATTTAGGAGTTAAATCCCTTTGTTTATGAACCCTAGTCACACCTCCATGCATGTGGCTTGCACAGCCTTCCATAAACACTTCCTGTAAAGAGACCACTATTTAGGCTTTCTTTATTGCAAGTTCTGTTTAATTAAGATTTTCTTATCCCCTGCTATGTTAATAGCTTGCTAGACCCTGCAAGAGCCTCCTGTATGTGATTAAAGTTCAATTTAGAGATTGAGATACAGTTATTTAAGGCAAATTACATCTGTTTGAAAGTGAAACCAGTTTGTTTTTTTCATGCAGGCTCTGTCAATCATAGCCAGGGGAGGTGTGGCTAGGGCTGCATAAACAGAAACAAAGTGATTTAACTCCTAAATGATAGTGAATTGATCAGTGAAATTGCAGGGGAATGATCTATACACTAAAACTGCTTTATTTAGTTAAAGTTATTTAGGTGACTATAGTGTTCATTTAAGGCACAGCTATGGCATTCCATGCAAATCAGCTTATATTTTCTCGCTGTTGTGTGGAAACTCTCAAATAAATCCTCCTAATCTAACTAGGAAATATTTTCTTTAAAGGCAAAGTCTAATCCGCCACCTGAACTAATAGGATGTTCAAAGATACACATCCTTGGGAAGAGATGTGCATTAAGATAGAAACCTTTTAAGTATTAAAAAATCAAAACAGATCCCACCATTATCATGTTCAATTCAAGGAGGAAACTGTTTCACAGATACTTCTGCTGCTTCTATAGCATTTGACTAAGATTAATACACAATTAAACATGAAACAAAGAAAAAAGGCAGTTCTCTTTAAAATGTTCAAACAATTTTCTGCTGTGTTCTTGCAAACATTTCCTTTATTACCTATTTCAGATGGAGAAAGATCAGCCGCAGGAGACTGTCGAAGATCCTTCACCATTCACGTCATCGCTGTCCACACAATTGCCACAGAAAAGTGAACAGTCTCAAATTGCCTTTTCGCCAACAGAAGATACTTTCAAAGACACTGCCAATCTTGTCAAAAGAGATTCAGATGTATAACTAAATATTCAACTTGGGAACACGTTCATTTCAAAAACTTTCTTGCACATATTTTTTTATTGGCAGAGAAGATAATGTTAACAGTCATTTCTTTATACAAAAAAAAATATATATATATTCTTAGGCTGTAGAGACTTTTTTGGGGAACTTTGCCTTTTTTTTGACAAATGCCAATTGATATTTTATGAAGAATTATCACAATGTACTATATGTATATCTTTGCACTGAAACTGTCTGAAAATAATATTATAAATATTGTGTATAATTGTAAATTTGTTAAGAAAAGATTATGTTGTCAATGATATGTGCAACTTTGGGATAATGAAAGATAATTGAAACAGTAATTTTAATATGAAAGGAACACTAATGGATAAAAAAAAACCTAATTTAACATCTACTGTGTTGTTTTTTTATAGTGAACTGAATATATGTATACACGCTTCTATCATGAGCTCACAAAATATGTATGTATATATATATATATATATATATAGTGATGTCCTGAACGGTTCGCCGAACGGTTCGCCACGAACGGTTCGCCACGGACTCATCATTGAGTAAATTTTGACCCTGTACCTCACAGTCAGCAGACACATTCCAGACAATCAGCAGCAGACCCTCCCTCCCAGACCTTCCCACCTCCCATTTTGAAGCTGCATTCTTAGTGAGCTGTCCAGGAGGTGGGAGGATCTGGGAGGGAGGGTCTGCTGCTGATTGGCTGGAATGTGTCTGCTGACTGTGAGGTACAGGGTCAAAGTTTACTCAATGATGAGTTCGTGGCAAACCGTTCGTGGTGAACCGTTCGTGAACCGTTCGCGAACCGTTCGCGAACCATTCGGGACATCACTATATATATATATATAATATTCTGGATAGAGCTCTCAGGACTTTTCAAATAGTAAAGCTATTTCCTGATGAAAGTTTGTGTGTAACAAACTGAAACGTAGATTTTATTTATGTGAAGCTAATTAAAAGCTAAGTTTTTCTATTTGACAAGTCCTGAGGGTGTCAAATATATGTATTTTGCTTGACAAGCACTGGGCAAGTTACTGGATTTATGGAGTGCAAGATCTTTTTAAATTTTATACATATACATTTACTGGCCCTATCCATGGCAGCACAACAATGGGTAGCTCCTCCCTATGCCTAATTAGACAGGAACCTAATTAAAACAGAAGGTATAAGTAACTCCTACCCCTTCCATCCTCAGTCTTTTTGTTCCTGACCTATTCCTAGGACAGACTTAGTCTTTTCAGGACTAAAAACTTTTTCTTTTATGGCTTACCTGAAGATAATCTTTTTCTCTGGCCCCTTGGGAGTTCAGCCTCTCTCCCTAGGGAAGTCTCCAGTACACGGCCGTTCACAAAGGTGACCCCTTAGAGAAACCCCTTGAGTGACCAGGGGTTCTAACTTGCTGTGACCCGAGGGGTAGCAAGATCATGCCCTTGGGAACACAACCCTCCGCAAAGGTGGCCCCCTGGAGAAACCCCTTTAGTGACCATGGGTTCTAACTTACCCTGATGGGGTAGCAAGATCAGGCCATCACCATAATTCTTGCAGTGACCCAAGGAGTAGCAAGCTGGACATGCACATACAGAGCATATGGATTGCAAGGATTAATATGACATTGACTAACATTAAATCGCTAAAAGAGTTAATGTGATGCTGACTAGCATTCTATCGCTGAAAGGGTTAAAGTGCAATCCTGCTGTCTTGTACTTTCCCATGGATTTACTTGCTGTGACCATAGGGGTAGCACGATTATACCATCACCCTATTTCCTGCAGTCACCAAAGAGTAACAGGCTGTGCATGCACATTCAGAGCATATATAAGAATATAACTCCTCTTACCCTTCATCAATTTCAGCTGGATGGTAAGAGATTCCTGACAATTTTCATTTCAAGCAAATAAATGTTAAAATCCTTCTTCCCAGGCATCTGTGTAGGTTTCTGTTATGCCTTTTAATACAGCCGCTGGATTCTCTTATTGCTAGGCTTCTATGGCTTTTGTAAAGACTTGTCTTTACCTGTGTGTCTCGCTTCCTCAATTCCAACTCTCTCCCAATGCTCATTCAGTGTCTCCTTTCCCAAGGATACCTCCTCCCCTCGTGCTGTCTCGGTTGGAGTTCCCCAAGGGTCTGTCCTTGGTCCCCTTCTATTTTCTCTTTTTATACAGCCTCTCTTGGCAAACTTATTGCCTCTTTTGGATTCCACTACCACACTAGGCCTAGGAATATGAAAATCCAACTGCTATATAAAGAGGCATAACAGAGGCCTAGGAATAGGTGAACCCAGTGGCTGAATTAAAAGGCATAACAGAGGCCTAGTATTAAGAGAATCCAGCGGCTGTGTCTGTGTGTCTCTGTATGTATGTGTCTGTGTGTGTGTCTCTGTATGTATGTGTCTGTATCATACAGACACACACATACATACAGACAGACACACACACATACATACAGTCCTGTATGTATTTGTCTTTATATGTGTGTGTGTGTGTCTGTATGTGCGTCTCTGTGTGTGTCTGTATGTGTGTATGTCTCTGTATGTATGTGTCTGTTTTATACAGACACATACATACAGAGACACACACACAGACACATACATACAGAGACACACAGACACAGCCGCTTCATTCTCTTAATACTAGGCCTCTGTTATGCCTTTTAATTCAGCCACTGGGTTCACTTATTCCTAGGCCTCTGTTATGCCTCTTTATATAGCAGCTGTATTTTCTTATTGCTAGGCGTCTGTTATGCCTTTTAATGCCTTTTATTACTAGGCTTCTGTGTGTTTTAATTTTGCCACTGGATCCACTTATTCCTAGGCCTCTGTTAAGCCTCCTAATATAGCAGCTGGATTTCCTTATTCCTAGGCCTCTGTTATGCCTTTTAATGCCGTTTTATGATTTTTATTACTTTTTTATCAGGGATTTGCTTTGCTAAGGATAAATCGGAATCTTATGCAGTTATGGATTCAGATCCCTATGCTCCCTGAAAAAAGGTCACACTCTAAGGGATATAGGTAAGACATTCTAATTTTTTCTGTGGTTCCAAACAAAAGAGTGCCTATTAATGATTGGAATTCCCTACGATGAAAGCTCTATGGGAAGAAAATCATCCGGATCATACAAGGAAAGTCGCACTAAAGGATCCTTTGTGAGGCATATGACAAGAGAGCCTTGTAAAAGTAAAGTATCTGCACAGACTGTCTGAAAGTGACTATAGGCCCATCTACCCCTGTGCCTTATATTATGCAATATCAAACAGGAGGTATCTCAAGCCATCATAGAAGCTGTTAAAGCGCAGATACTCTGGACAATTCCCAGAATGAATGAATACTCTGAGAAGTCCTTGGTGATGGATACATTCAGAGATATGGTATCATCTTCGTATGAGGATATTCAGCCTATTTCAGTACCTCCAGAATCAGCACAAGTGGACCATTTGATTTCCAGAGTCTGTAGGACCTTACATCTGAAAGAATCGTCTAAGGTTGAGCCTTCTACCTCTAGCCTTTCTTTCGGATCTCAGAAAAAGCAGAGCATCTTTTCCAGTTCCCGGTACCACTAATATCCTTATTATGGAATAATGGTTCTACACTGAAGTTTTCAACACAAGGGAGCTTCTTGCGTCTTCATCCATTGGGATATCAGATGTTTGTACCTGGGACTCTGCTCCTAAGTGGACGATGAAGTCTGGCTAAATGTTCAACTCTGCCTGTTCAACAATGCGGGATCTCTCTGAGATTCCATGGAGCATAGATGGTCTTTGTGGTGAAAGCACCTTCGTCACTGGTGTTTGGAGGGGCCTGCTTGCCAGCCTCTTTCCCCAAGACTATGGCCCATATGTTACCATGGGTCCTATGGCTATGGAAAGGCTTGTTTGTGCCTTTCCCCTGAAATGGTTCGGTATTTGGGGTTACCGAACAAACTGTTGAACAGCTGGACCACCCGCAACTGGAGTGTGTCCCTCATTTACCTCCCAGGAGCTGTGGTTAACCACAGCTAATTGACAAACAGCTGGGTGGTTGCCGTTCGTATAGTCGAACACGTGGCGACAGCCATCTTGTTTAGTCGAACGCGTTCATCGGTGTTTGAGTTCATGGAACTCAAATCAGACACACGATGGCACGAACACCGCTGAACTTTACCTTCTCTGGAACTTCGACTCTTCGATGGGAGTCGAACGGCATTTGCCAATACGAACGACACTTTAAGTTTGACTAGGTGCACGAACGGTTCCCGTTCGGCTATTTGAACTGAACTTAGACATTGAAAATAGACCGACCCTGATAGCTAAAAGCTATGGAACTAATTGTGGACCGATTTCTGCCGAACGGTCGGTGAAAACTCTTTAACTCCATGGCGATTCGACTATTTTCGTAGGATCTGAGCACTGTTCGGATATAATGAGCACTCAGATCCAAGCTATCTGGGGATATGTAAGGTTTCAGTTATGTGAAGTGTGAGTTATGTATTTTAATGTGTTTTGTTGCAGTTGTAACTGGCCAATCAGCATCTCCTCATAGAGATGAACTGAATCAATAAATCTCTATGAGGAAAGTTCAGTGTCTGCATGCAGAGGGAGGAGACACTGAATCACAGGATGCTGTGCACAGTGCTGCCCTGTGCTCTGCTGACAGCAAATCTGAGTGGATGGACGCATATTATGCCTCCATCAACTCCGAAGTCCCTCTGGTTCACTCTGAGTGACTGCAACTGGAGGTGTTCCTAGCTTTCAATGTAAACACTGTATTTTCTCAGAAAATACAGTGTTTACATGAGAAAGGCTGCAGGGAGCTATAGTTCTCACCTGAACAACTTCATTAAGCTGAAGTTGTTCAGGTGACTATAGTGTCCCTTTAAGTTTACCACGGCCACTTAAGCCAGTTATCTCCAGGAAAGAGAGGAGGGATTTTACTGTTTCGGTGGGAGTGTTTCACATTGTATTATATTTTGATTGGCCATTGTAATTGTATTCCAGTCCTCCACAAGGTCCCTGTGGGAGTGTCCCTTGCTGGAGGACCTGCATAAAAGGCCAAGCTATGGCCACCATTAAACAGATGAAGTTTCGGCTCATGTTTGGGGATTGGAGAACTACACTCTGGGGATTGCTATAATCACTATACTCCCCAGGGTATAATCACTAAGTTCTGGTAAGAGCTTGTTCCTCTTCCTGATCTCTGGATTCAAGAGAGGTCTACCTACTGGAAGCTGGACCCTGGTCTTGGGTCCAGAGTGGGTGGAAGACGGTGAGACCCCAACCAAGCAGTGGCGGTTCGTGGAGTCTGCAGTGGTTATGGTGTCTGGTGGAGTGCTTGGAGCCCTCGGGAAGCACTAGGAGCATCCGTCAACGCAAGGTACGCGGTCAGGGTGCCAGGCTTTCCGTTACATTCTTGATCCTATCTAATAACCTATGTAGCAGCTGACACATGCTTTCACCCTGCGGCAAACGCTCAATCTCTAAGGATCTAAGATTGGTATGGATAGATAATCTTCCTTTTGTCTGTTGACATTACAAGTCATTAAGCCGGAAATAGTCTTCAGCTAAGAAGCTATCATAGGTTATACCAGAAATATGACTCTCTTTGTCTACTAGTCAGGTTCTTTGGCTCAATACCTGCTCCGTGTATGTATCCTCCGAGATGAATGGATCAAAGAATGGGAGAGGGAAGGAAAGCTTGTCTACTGCAAGACCTAAAGTTCAGGAGACCATTTTGATCCAAATCCTCTCATTCCCTTCCTTCATGAACCCTAGTATTTCACACCTGGAAGAGCGTATTGTAGATCTCAACCTTGAGAAGTGGTTATTCCTCTTCCAGAGGAAGAGAAGAGGTAAAAAGAGATGCATTGTGAATTTCAAAGCCGCTACAACACAAAGATTCGGTTTCTAACAGGCGGATGGAGATCCATTTTAGATCTACATAAGTTTACAGGATGAAGAACATTCTAAATTGGTCTTTCAGTCAAAGTTACTAATACTAAGTAAAGATTACTTAGTATTAGTAATTTCTGCCCTACTCGCTATACTGCGAGTAGGGGCATGTCTAGTAAACAGCCTGTGGCTGCTCACTGTTAAAAAAAAAAAAAAAAGTCCCCCCCACTCCCGACCCCCCACCCGTGCCCTGAGTGGCGGGTAGGGGCCCTAAATTACAATAAGGGGGGGACCTATTGTCCTACCCCCCGGCCCTCACCCCTGAGCGGCGAATAAGGGCCCTAAATTAGAATAAGAGGGAACCTATTGTCCTCCCTCCCGGCCCTCACCCCTTGAGCGGCGGGTGGGGGCCCTAAATACCAATTAGGGGGGGACCTATTGTCCTCCCTCACGGCCCCCAACCCTAAGTGGCAGATGGAGTTCTTAAATACCAATATGGGGGGGATACCTACTGTCTTCCCCCGGCCCCCACCCCTGTGTGGCAGGTGGGGCTCTAAGTTAGAATAAGGGGGAGGACCTATTGTCCGGGGGGAGTACAATAGTTCCCCCCCTTATTCTGATTTAGGTCCCCCACCCGCCACTCAGGGGTGGGGGATGAGGGGAGAATACAATATTTTTGATTTAGGGCACTCATGCATTGCTCAGGGGGGAGGGCCAGGACACACATGATAGGTTCACCCCATTGCCATCCAGGGTACCCACCCTCCGCTCAGTGAGATCCCCCCTTCAGTTTAAAAGCCCCCACTCGCGTGGCTCAGGAGGGTTAACACTTCGGTGGTTTTCTTTTGTTTGTTTTTTTAACTGTGAGCTGGGTTGGGGAAACTGTGGCCTACATGACTCCTTTCTCCTTCTTCTATGGTACAAGTGCAAGTGACTGTGCCATTCGGGAAGGACTGGGACATTAACATTTGTAGTATATGCTGTCTGCACTATAAATATATGTTTTTTTTAGTTTTTTACATGAACTATGTTATACTGAACTGAACACATATGAATATTAATACATATTCTGCATGTTTAAAGTTTATTGGAATATGGAATGCCCTTTGAATAATTTTCTTTTTTGCGATGACTGCACTTTAAGGAGTTTCATAGTGCAACACTTTCTTTTCTTGGAAAATATTCCAAATCAGCTATAGTCACTTTCTATTTGGATTTCAATTCCACAATTCCTTGTTTATGGTTATCCATTAAACTCTGCATAGACCTCGGATTTGCAGTATTGAGTTAAAACCCAGAATTTTACCTGTAATGAAAATTTGGATGTGTGCTTATATTAATTTGGAAATTCATTCAGGGAATCGCACCAAGTATGCTTTATTTGGTTTGGAACAAGAAGACTAATATTCATACGGTGATTGTCAAAAAAACCTCTTATGGTGCCTTTTTTCCATCAACGATACTACTGGAACCTTTCCAATCTGTATCCGTTTAAAACCCATTGCTATCACTCAACAAATTACATTATAACAATATTTACAACATCACAGCTATAAAAAAAAATCATTTTTTGTTTTCATTCAGATCATTACTTTTGAGGTTTTTGCAGCTGTAACTCAATCAGCCAGGTATATTCATGTATTTCCATCCTTTCAAATGAAATAATTATGGTTTATGAATTAAGCTGAATTAATTGTAGGGGCCTGAGTTAATCAAAGGTTATACCCAGAAGTATATAATTGTTTGTAATTATAGTGCTTATTAAATTATCACAAATGACTTCTTACCCAGGTGTCTAAATTACAGTAGATAGAAAGAACACCTAATTTTACAAATGTTTTAAAATTACTCTTCAGATCTTTTCCAAATAACTCCTTGTATGGAGTTCATATGATATAATATAATTAGTGATGTCCCGAACGGTTCGCCACGAACGGTTCGCCGCGGACTCATCATTGAGTAAACTTTGACCCTGTACCTCACAGTCAGCATACACATTCCAGCCAATCAGCAGCAGACCCTCCCTCCCAGATCCTCCCACCTCCTGGACAGCTCACTAAGAATGCAGCTTCACAATGAATGTAAAATGGATGCTGTCCAGGAGGTGGGAGGGTCTGGGAGGGAGGGCCTGCTGCTGATTGGCTGTAATGTGTCTGCTGACTGTGAGGTACAGGTTCAAAGTTTACGCAATGATGAGTCCGTGGCGAACCGTTCGTGGCGAACCGTTCGGCGAACCGTTCGGGACATCACTAAATATAATATTTATTAACATTTGTTGTGCATTGGATGGCTGAATTTTTCTCTCAATGTATTGCTATTTAAATACCCAGAGTCCATTTACTCGGTTTACTTATATTATATATAAAATGTAAAACATAATGAATGGTGATGCATACCAAAAAGCTGTTTCATGATATCACGATTTTTCTATGAATAAGCATCACTGTTGCAGCTAACAAACTCAGAATGTTGAGCATGATTATCATTATTTATTATTGTTATTATTAATGATTACAGAATCATTAGAGCAGTTTATATAATTAAATAGCAGGAGGACCTGAGTTCACCTTTAATAAAGGTGTTCACAAAAAAATACACTATATACTATGTGGCTACAAACAAATGAGTAAGATGTTGCATGATTGATATTTTTCTGAGTGTATCTAGTTGAAGAAATACTCCAAACACCATAACTACTGCATCAGGCAATCTATCTCCATAGTAGTGCTGGTAAAACTCTGAAACACGATTCGGACCATAACCATTACAACATATTGTTGTTATAGTACTAGGGCTCTACAGGTGCAGTCTCTCTGCAATGCATGGAGCTAATCATAAAACATGTACAATACACAGAACTGGGTACAACACAAAGATACCCATACAATGCACAGAGCTGAGCAGGCTACTGAGATATCCATACAACAGGTAGAGCTGAATAAAATACAGGGAGAAAACACATTGGCCTCAATTTAATATTTTTGGATAAGCCGTTCAAATAGTTTTCATATTTTTGGATAAAAAATTATTTAATATTTGATTTTTTTTTCATATGTTTTCATATATTGATACATTTTTTATATTTGAATATATCTTCGCTTGTGTAGGCATGTATTTCTTTAACCCCCTTTTTTGTATCTTACCCCATTTTGTGTTATATTTTTTAATTTTCTCCCCCTTTTCAGAGTTATCATGAATTTTATGTCTCTATCGCTCTTTTGTGTTTTTATTACCCCGTTATTTATCACATATTCCCCTTTTGCCAAAACTGGTGCGGCACTGCCCCAAGTGGACCTATGGATTAGCCTCCACTGATCATGACTAGAGAGGGTCAGAACTGTTATGACCCTTTCCAAAATCCCCTTTTATTCAAATAATAGGATTTTGGATGGCTAAATTAAAAAAAAAAAGGTGCTCTGTACGAATAGCTATGAATACATTAATAACTCTGAAAATTACAATTGTACAGACAAGACCACACATTAAAAAAATCATAAGTTATTAGTTTTTTTCACTGTGCAAAGTTGTATTACGGATTGGTTCTTTCAAAATAAATACAAAATAAGAATGCACTCAGTTATAAATGGCAATATAATATGTTTCCACATTTTATCAAGGTAGAAATAAAAAAAAAAAAATGGGTGCAGGAATGGATGTAGGAAAAGTGTTTGATGCAACATATAAGTCAATATCAGTCACATGTTCTTCGCAAACAAAATACCATTTGTACATAAATATAACAAAAAGTTGCAATCTTTTATACATCAACCTGGTTTTTAGACAGAACTCTTTTGTAACCTAGTGGCCGTGGTAATATCAGTTTTAACATTACATCAGCAAGAATGGCTGGTGCATAGGACAATGGCAACCAAAAAAATTTGGCGTCCCATCCAGCTCCATATCGTGTTCTGGGATATCTTGCTGTCAAGGCGTGTTCCATGCAGTTCGTCACTTTAGAAATGTCAGAATCACAAAATGTGTTCATTGATAGCCTCTGGACTTTCAGATCTAGAAGAAAAGTGAATTACATGTTAACTTGTCTAAGGTTAGACTGAACTACAGTTGGTTTTGTACACAATAAGAAAATGTTAAGATAATTGGAACACTGTTAACCTTTTAAGAGAAGCTAACTATGCAGCTGTAAACTGGGCTAAGCTTAATCAGTTAAAGAGACACTATAGGCACCCAGACTACTTTGAAGTGGTCTTCATGCAGTACCCCTGTCCCCTTAACCTTGCAAGGTAAAACATTACAGTTTTCAGAAAATGTTTATTTTGCAGAGTTAAGACAGCCTCTTGTAATGTCTCCTAGACAGCCACTATAGGAGCTTCCTGGCTTTTCAAAGAGTTTAACTCTGTAAAACGATGCTGGATGTCCTCAGGAGAAGACAGAGCCTGTGCTGAGGGACCTCAACACAGGAAAGAAGTAAGTGTTTAAAGGGCCTTTAAAACCTTTTAAAATAGGGGGCTGACAATTAGACATGTGCAATTCATTTCGGTCTAAATTAAAATTGAGATGAATTTCGTCAATTCGGACATTCGTAACCCTTGCCCCAACCTTCCCCTAACCCTAACTCTCCCTTTCCTTAACAAAACCTGACAAAATCTGGACTGTTGGTAGTCCCTGAGGAAGGTAGGGGTAGGGTTAGGGAATTGAAAAAGACTCAAATTTCAGAAGTACCGAACCAAAGTGCCGAATGGCCGAAGTCCCAAATTTCGGAAGTGCAAAATCAAACCGAAGTGCAGAAGTGCTGAATTGCCAAAGTCCCGACTTTCGGAAGTGCCGAGCTGAACCATATTTTTTGCCCATGCCCATCCCTACTGGTGATACGTTTTTGGAAGAGGGGCACTATAGTGTTAGGAGTACAGTTTTGTATTTCCTATGCTATAGTGTTCCTTTAATATTGGCTCACTGAGGCTCAAGAACATTTAGTGAGTTTTTTAAAAAAAAATATGAGTGCAGAATTTATTTCAAACATGGGATGCATAGCTAGCATATAAATATAGATTAAAATGGCAATTCTGTATATAGATTGCAGGTCGGGGTTGCTAAACATTTAAATTCCGTAAATTTACACAATATTAATTGCTAAATATTCATGCATAATTTACAGATTTATGGGGGGGAAGGGGCAAATTAATATGGAACTCACAATATTTCATACTAGAATTATACTAAAGTGTAGAATAATAATAATAACATAGAATCAGATATGCACGTTGCAACATATAAATTAATATCAATACACTTGGTATGATAAAAAATAGATAAATAGGATGATGAAATAACTGCGAATGGTTGTTTGTAAGGACCTGACAGCATTTTTTAGGAATAAACCTTGTAAATTAATTATACTGCTTCGGGTACACAAAGCAGATTTCCTATATAGGACTCTTCAAGCTGTTATTAATGCTAGCAAATAATATTAGTTCCGCAATCGTAGCACACCTAAACCTCCCTCGTTCCCATCCCTGGCTATAGAATGAAACCAAAAATTTTTACCAAAATATAGATCTGTAGTGTATATGTGGGGGAGGTATCACATGCCTCCCTACAGTCAGCCCTGATTTTGGAGCTTTGTCCAGCCATCCCAATTTTGTTCCCTGTTGTTCTGCATCCGAGCAAACCAGTGAAGAGTCCTCAGGTAGCACAGCGCGAGTGTATCAGTAGACATGCTCTCTCCGTGCAGCAGGCACTAGGAGCATGCAAGAAGAGTTCCCTGCATGGTCCTCTATATAGAGTGCTGGCTGAAAGATTGTCTTTGAGCCTGGCATTCTTGACGCAAAACTAATGCACCTTTTCAGTTGGTGAATACTCCTTCTTTCACCAGTGATGCAAGTTACATAGCTTGCGACACAACTTTGGAAGACCCCTGTCCCATTTATCTCTGCACCAAAGCTAGGAGGTATGTATTTACTGCCCCATTGCAGAGGTACATTCATTTTATACTGGGTGTGGAACACTTAAAGTAAACTTGATGGGCTAAATTTCATTTTACTGTTATAAAGTGATTCCACTGTTGGGTGTGAAACATTTAATGAATTGAAGAGCCAAACTCTAAATTCAAGTCCCCAAATCTGAACAATAAAATACTGTTTCAGTACGTGACCCAAATGTTTATACATTAATTATCATTGTTGAGGACTGAATAAACCGTAACTGGATGATATGGAATTGTGTGCAATTTGGTTGGTCAAATCAGTAAGTTACACTTAGTTGCACATCAGTTAGAAATGTTGGAGGTGGGTTGTTAAAAATCATAATTCACCCTTTACTAAAAAATAGTCCTCTCCAAAAACAGATAGATACATTGGCAAGGTTTGTATCTTAACAAACTTCATTGCTGCTATCCCGAGGCAAGTGCTGGAATCTGATAGGAGCTAAATATCTTTTTCCAATACCTAGTATTCCATATTTTATTTAGTCACTTGCCTGCTAGCACAATGTATAGAATCACATACCAGCAGATTTAAAATAAGTGAATTCTTAGTGTGGATAACTGGAACAACCCAAAAAACAAAATACTTATTTTAACATGCTGGGATGCCTGTTCACTCAAAAGGAAAATTTAAATCAGCTGTGATAATCTGAGGAATTTTCACTCCAGTTTTTCAATGTAAGAATGAAAATTCATTTTTTTTTCTAGCAACTTTTCTTTATTTGATACACTGTCTATCCATCCATCTATCAATCCATCCATCTGCATTTAAAAGGAAGCGAGCCATGGTTAGGAATTCTTACATTTTTCAAAATACTTCTCTCCATATAAATGTTTGACTTCAGGTGTTAATCGGTTCCAAAGTCGGTTTAAATCCTTCTCAATAATTTCCAGGCTAGTTACTCCAGTCTTAAAGAAACCAGGTTCGATAATGCTAACTTTCACGCCAAAATACTGCATGTCTCTCCTAAAATGGAACAAAAAATATTAAACCATTTGGCCTCTTTATATTTTAACACTCTTCGGGTTATGTGATTGTATAAGACATTATTTAATATGTATTTTTAGAATTTCACACTGGAATGTTGGAGGGTCTGCCTCATAGATTTTTTTGGGTGTGCACTCTTGCTAATTTAATTTGTGAAAGCGGACTAAAATAAAGAGATCTTGTTCACCACAATAAGAAACTATAAATACAACACACTATACATGGATTTATTGGAAATATTCACTTGAAACAGATGATCTCATTACACTTTAAGTCCTGTACGTGGGCCACTAAAATAAGAGATATTTAAGAAAAAAAAGATCCCTAGCACTAAGCAGAAGAAGTTTTGCTAATTAATGTCTTTGATGTTCTGATTACTTACCTTAAGCTGTCCGAAAAAGATTCCACCCCACATTTAGATAAACAGTAGCCACCACCTCCAAATGCAAGTCTTCCCATAACACTGGCTACGTTAACTATCCTTCCTCTGGCCTTTTTTATGAGTGGCAGGAATTTCAAGGTAACTTCAATAAGTCCAATCAGGTTGACATCAAGAACTCTATGAAAGTCTTCAATATCCATCCAGTCAGTTGGTCCAATAGGAATGGCTCTCCCAGCATTGTTGACCAATCCAAATAATCCTATTTAAAAGAAACGTATATGCATTAAATTTGCGTGCAAACCTAAGGACCCCAATAAAAAAGTGCTGTTCATCCCCAAGTTGACACAGTTTTATCTCCACTTAGTCTTTTCTGTTTGTTTGTTTTTTTGTTATTAAATGATTCACCTACCCTTTTTGGATTACCACCTTGCTCCCTTTTATCAGGAGAGAGTGAATTTCAATGATCACAGGTATGTACATCTTATATTTAACAAATATTTGATACATTACTTCCCTCTTGCTCACACGGATAAACTCCATCAACTCAAGGCAAAAATAATCAACATTTTAAATCTAAGCACAGCAAAGAGGGGAGCAATAGCAGGAGTTGTAATGAAAAAAGAATCTTCTCTTTGCCACTCACAAATAATATCAAGACATAAAAATATGTGGCAGATCAGCAAGACAAAATTACAAAAAAAATTTGACTAGATTTATTGGGAAAAGAAGAGACAAAAAAGGATATTACAACATGCCTGAATGGGATGGACATTTTGTATCTAAACAGATACTTTATCAACAGCAACATCATCTACATACCTTTTATGCAGCTGGTTCTATGTAGCATTGATCATAATATCTCTCTGATTAGTTCGTTAAGATACTTACCGCCTAGTATAACGATTATTAGACATAATATTGCTCTGAGAGGCATTCTGTTACTTCTTTAGTATCTCAATAAATTTATATATAATTATGTATAGAGTGCTTGTTATTTAACACCTGAACCTAACTTTATTCAGGTAAATGTTGCCTATTGCAAGTAAGCTATTTTGCACAATAACTCTGTTATCCAAATAACAGCTGGATTATTCTGAATTATTCATAATATTGGAGTAAAATCCAGACAAGGCAGGTTGATTGATTCAAGCTAAAAGCAGAAGGAACTACATCAACTCTATCCGAGAGAAGCAAATTAATAAAATAAAATAAAAAGTTCAAGCTCTTTTAATTTCAGTTATTTGTAATTATTAACACCCTCCAAAAATAAGTACCTTTGTTACCGGTTTCTGTGGCCACGTAAGCTACAGCATTATCAATACTCCTGGGGTTTGTTACATTCAGGATGACAGTTCGCAGTGATGACGAAGTGCAGGCTTTTAATTCCTGGCTTCCCTTTTCAGTTAGACAGGCAGCAATTACAATAAACCCTTTTCTGTAAAGTCTTTGTGCCAACAAGTTGCCAAATCCTGTATCACAACCTGTGATGAAAACATGTTTTTCACAAACATCTTTGACTTTGAGGCTGTCTCTGATGACCCAACAGATAATTATGAAGGCAATGGAGGTCAACGAACCAATTAATGCTGGGTTAATTGTCAAAATCTGAAATGAATAAATTTGAAAGTTAAAATTTTCTCATGTAACATCTTGATAACATGATAGATTTTAGCTAGTGTATAACAGCAGCTAAAATCAGCAACAATCACATGTTCTCTCTGACAAGTACCTGTATTGCCATGAAGAAAGGAAGCTTGAGTGTTCCATATGTGGCAAAGTATTATGTGGCATCTATTCTGTCGCAGACAGCCAGAGCAGGCACCACATCTTCTCCCCCCAATGGTATGTATTAGAATAAGCAATAAGTGCCCCACATTTAATAACAGACCTACTCTGGGTCCCATCATAACAGTATCCATGTAATATCATAATGTTGGCTACAACAAAACGGTCTTTATTATTATTGCACAAATGGGTTCCAAAACTGGTATCACTACCGATAGGCATATATGCCACTATGCAGAGCTTGCAATACTGCACAGGTGACCTGTCTAGCGAATTGGAGTCAGAAGGGTATAAAAAGAGTAATACAGATACTGGGGAAGGATGGATTTGTCAGTTTTCAGATTTACAGACTACTTTTGCATTACCAAACAAAGAATTGTTCACATACCTTTGTAAAAAACATATTTTAGAGAAGTTTAAACAAACTGCAGGATATTGATAAATTAGGTCTAGGAGTAGGAGCCTTAACAAAGTCTCTGTCCTTATGCTACAAAAGGTTACTGAAAATTTACCGACCTGTGAAATTGGGACATATAGTAAAATGGGAAAAAGAACTTGAACGTGAGTTAGAACTAAGTAGATGGTATGCGGCAATGACGGGGATGCAAAGGGCCGCCCATTGCTTAGACCACATAGAATCATCTTATAAGTTGTGGATGAGGTGGTATCTCACACCTCAATGCCTTGCCCACGTATATCCTGGGGTTACCCCCATGTGCTGGCGATGTGGCGGGGAGACAGACACTTTAATTCAGATGTTTTGGCATTGTTTCATTTTAAAAACTCTTGGCTGCAGGTATAGGAGCTTATCGAACGCTCTACGACTTTGTCACTTCCCCTCTGTCCAGAGATTTATTTGTTTCACGTGTTGCCACAACCTTCTCGAAACATGCTGCTACATTAGCTGTGCACATCTCACTGGCAGCAAAGATATGCTTAGCAAGACTGTGGAAATCCTCAGCTCGACCTGATATTAGGTTAGTTACAGAAAAAATAAACCGTACAAAAAAATATGAGGAAATGGCACATACTATTATGGGTGCGATGGGCAAATTTACCAAAGCATGGGGACAATGGCAAGAATAAACATTGGTGGAGCACTGTACCGATACAGATTAGGAGACTCCGATTGTACCTAGAACATCTCATGAAATTGTATTTAGAAAATCTCACGTAATTATAGTATTTTTCCTTTGTTTCTCTTTCATCTTTTTTTTTGTTTGGCTTTATGTTTGTTTATGTTCTTTTTTAAAAAAAATTAAATTATATTTCAAAATGGATAACAAATGTATAGATGTTACACTGTATGCAGGTATTGATTATTATGGCCGAAATGGGTATTATTGTGAATTTTTTTTCTTTTTTCTATGAAAGAAAGTCTTTAATGTAACAATTGAGATTCAGTTACAAAAACTAAAAAAAAAATAAACAGAAAAAAAAGGAAAGCTAAAATGTTCTCATGTAACATCTTAGTAACATGATACATTTTAACTAGTGTATGACAGCAACTACAATCAGCACCAATCAGTGGCTTATTGTGCTGCGAATAATAGTTCAAGATGATGATCATTGCTTCATACATGGTGTAATATAAAATGTTTTTAGTGTCTATGTAACAGTATATATTTTGTGTTTAATGTGTTTTGTTTCTTGCACTATAGATCCTGTTACCTCCTTGAATCTGTCAAACAGGTCCTCTTCTTGAGCTTCCTGAAAACAGAACAGAAAAAAACCTGAACAATTCAGCCAAGCAAGTTCATTAAAGAAATGTTGTTGAAAGACAGTAATATATCTTCAAGGTTTGAAAGTTCAGCTCCACGGAATTAAGGAAAGCTCATTAAAGGAAAGCTATAGAGTCCCTTTCCCTATATCTATACAAGTTTTCCCGCACCCCCATTTCTAATAAAAAATGTGAAAATAAAGAACTTACTTACCTTTTTCCAATGCAAGAAGAGGCTCCTTTGTTGTTGCTTAGCTCTCCTCCTTGTAGCGGAGCATGGTGGACCTAATGCGCATGCGCTTCGTGCCCATTCAAGCTTCCCATAGGAAAGCATCTGTCTTTCAGCAACCTAATGTGATAGAGAGCACGAGATATTCCCCTGTCCCTACACACAGAGCACCATGCTATCACATACCACTACAGTGATGAAAGAGTTAGCTGGGAAAGAGTAGCCATTTATTCGTTAACAAAAGTTTGGCCATGCTACAATTATGTGGGTACAAAGTAGCATCCGACACAAACAATGGGTAAAGAGGCTGGGGCAGTTACACACTGTGGATGGAGAGAGGGATATTGGTGCAGACTGAGATTATGGGGTGGTTATTATTAATTACATAGAGCCGACATATTTGGAAGCACTTTACAATTAGAGAAATAAGTGTGGAAGGTGCAGTTCAAACAAGCTTTAAATCTATGGAAGGTAGATATATATTGTTAGGTGTCCAGGAATTGAACCTCAGTTCAACAAGTCTGGGAATTGAACCTAAGCTCCATGTGATGCATGCTTTTCCCTAAGTAATTCTGGTTATACAACAGACTGGCCTTGTCACCTGGTGCTCGGAGAACTTAAATAAATTTCAGTGCAAATGCTGGATTATCTGAGCTTACACTGTACTTGTAATGTAATTCAGGGCATTTAAACCCATACATGAATGCTTCATCAGCGTTTATCCTGTGGACAGCCTTTATTGACTGCTCTGCTGTGCAGCCTGCCACCCTGGTGTACACGCATGCCAGGATAACTTGCCCTCTTGGTTAGTAGGCACATTGGCCATGGTGCTAATTGTGTCATGGTAATTCCCACCAACCAGGCACGCAGCCTCTCTCCCTTTCCCAATATAACGTCTGCCTAAGTTGGCACGTCTGCAGATTCAAACTTTGGGGAACAGTGGAGTGAGAGAGATTAGGCCAGAAACAAACTGGAGAGGAGATTAAACAAAACAAAAACTGTAGTGAGAGGGGGAATGAAGCAGACACACACTGGACTGAGTAGTGTCTCTTCCCTGGGACTCCATGTAAATATCTGCTATAACATTGCACAACTACACACCTGCATTCTCACACACAGCATGCAAAAACAAAATACTGCATTATACCACACTGGCACACAAACATATTTCTCCATTTTCACACTCTTGAATTATCTACAAGAAAAGATTGCATTCACTATCACTTTTTCTACTCAGAATTTGTACTCCTCATTTGCACATGGACTCTACATAAAATAGACCCCTGGACACTAGAAACTGGCAATAGAAACACATATATATTTTTTTTCATTACACTGACATTGCGCAAAAACAAATATGCCCATTAATAAAACCTTAAATGATATAAAAATACAATCCGTAAAAAATGAAAATCCAGCACACTCCCTATCTACGAAACAGCTATGTTGGTGCGGATTTTGTAAGTTTTATTAAAAACACCTAATCTAGGCAAAAATAATTATGGGGATTTAGTTACATTATATGATCATACATTGCATAAGCCTGCCACAACGTCAATAAAAATACAATCCAGCATTCACTCACACTACACGCAGATACATTCACGTACACATACCCCACTTCAGATTTTATACTCACACACAGACATTAAACAATAGTACACATATATTCACAATGATATTATTTATGCAAATACACAATTCATTATTTATTAAACAGTGAATTGTGGAAAGTTGACAAGAATATGGCACATTTTGGGCCAAAATAGCAGAAAAAATATGATACTTCTGTTACAGCCTAGATTTTGGAACAATTGTTATATTCCGAATTAGAGATATGCACAATCTACTGCTATATTTTAAATCCATCAAACGGTCCGTCCATCCTTCCGCACATCAATCTATTAATCTATCTATCGATCCTTCCATCTGTCCGTTCATTCGTCCATTTAATATTCTGTCTATTAGTCTGTCGGTTTTGCAGCACAGACGTTCGTATAGTGATTGTACCTGTCAGTTGCATCTCTCACACAACTGATCTTGCATGTTAGGTCAGTTTGTTTATGGATATTTTTTTGTCCTTAAAACAATAACAATATTCATTAAACATGAGCAGGTAAACGTATCTAATATAAATGAATCAGTTGCAATTACAGTAGTAATTTATTTTAAAGGTGACTTACCTCCTGTCGCTGCATCATACAACGTGACAAGCAACAGTAAAATGACAACGAAGCATGTGATTTAGAAGGAATGTATAAAATCCTCGGTCAAAGCATTGCCCTTTCTCATAAGGCTCTTTAAACCTTTCTATACATATGTTTAAAAAGTGGGACTACATGGTAAAGCATCCTATGAAACAAAGCCAAAAAAAGACTTCTATTGCTGTTAACGATTAATTCCACCAGACTACCATTGGCCCTGTGATAATCCCTCTGCTTGCTGTAAATATTCACTTTGGAGATTCATGTATCCTTGGCCACGATTATATTTGGAATGTAGTTGCTTAATCCTTATTAGTGAAGACTAAATCACAAGCATCTAAGTTCCATCAGTGCTGGCGGGGCCATGAGTTAAATGTGGTTATGCAAAGCTCTCTCTAGGGTATTACCGAGTGTATGCATTTAGATTCGACTATTCACAGATCAACTGACTAGCTTTCTAGAAAAGTGTCCTCTGTGCCCAACAAGCCCAACAGCTTAAGTTCTCAGAAATCTTGTGTTTGTTTATTTACTTCTGTAATGACTGCAGTGGTTATTCAAGGAGACACTTCAGGATTGAGTTGACTCATTATTTTTTTAATGTATTACAGAAATAATTAAAAATAGAAAGAAAAAACAATAAATTAACAACAAATAAAAAAAATTTATGCTCACTAAGCGTTTGCATTTGCTGCTAAATCGTATGCATTGCAGCTTGTGAGGTTTTCAAACGAGGAGCTGACTCAATCTTTTTTCTATATTATTGTTATTTTGTTATTTATATAGCGCCAGCAAATTCCATAGCACTGTACAATGGGTGGACTAACGGATACGTAATTGTAACCAGACAAATGGACGCACAGGAACAGAGGGGTTGAGGGCCCTGCTCAATGAGCTTACATGCTAGAGGGAGTGGGGTATAGTGACACAAAGGGTATAAGTAGGGGTAATGAAATAGGTTCCTAGAAAAGTATTCACTGAGGGCTTAGTTGGTTATTTTTGACAGTTGCAGGAGAGGAGTCATGGGGGGGAGGGAGGATGATAACCCGCTAACAGTTTAAATGATATGCTTTCCTGAAGAAGTGTGTTTTTGAAGATTTTTTGAAGGAGTGGAGACTGCGTGAAAGTCTAACGGAGAAGGGAAGAGAGTTCCAAAGAAAAGGTGCAGCCCTGGAGAAGTGATGGAGGTGAGGATCAGATGTGGGAGTACAGACAGAGGATAGACGTAGGTCTTCGACAGAGCGCAGGGGCCTCGACTGGACATATTTGTGTCTTAGGGTTGATATGTAGGTTGGAGCAGCATTATGTAGGGACTTGTAAGCAAGCACCAGAATCTTAAATTGAGCCCTATATCTAACTGGAAGCCAATGTAGGGACTGACAGAGGTGGGAAGCATGGGAGATGCGGGCGGACAGGAAAAAGAGCCATGCCGCCAGCCGCATTCATTACAGATTGCAGTGGTGCAATCTGGGAACACGTAAGAACACTGAGAAGGGGATTGCAGTAGTCTTGCAGTAGTCTTGGCGAGAAAGATCAACTGCATGGACCTTAGCCATGTCTGGTGTTAAATAAAGGCAGATGTGAGCTATGTTTTTGAGATGGAAGTGGCAGGGCTTGGTGACTAACTGGACATGAGGAGTGAAGGAGAGGTCAGAGTCAAAGAGAACACCTAGGCAGCGGGCCTGCAAGGTAGAGATATGGTGGCGCCATTGACATGGAGGGAGATAGGCACGTGAGTAGCAACACTTGAGGGAGGAAAGACGAGAAGTTCTGTTTTGGACAGCTTGAGTTTAAGGAAGAGAGCAGCCATCCATTTGGAAATCGCAGAGAGGCAGTCAGAGACATGAGTGAAGATGGGTGGAGAGAGATCAGGAGAGGACAGGTAGATTTGCATGTTATCTGAAAATAAATGATAATGGAAGCCAAAAGAGCTGACGAGTTTACCAAGGGAGGCAGTGTAGATAGAGAACAGTAGGAGACCAAGGACATAACCTTGGGGAATGCCAGCAGGAAGGGGTTGGAGAGAAGAGGCAGAGCCACAGAAAGATACACTGAAAAAGCTCTGGGAGTGGTAGGAGGAGCACCAGGAGAGAGCATTATCCCATAGACCAAGATTACAGAGAATGAGAAGAAACTGTTGATGATCAACAGAATCAAAGGTACCAGAAAGATCAAGGAGAATTAGGATAGAGTAATGGCCATGAGATTTAGCAGCGATTAAATCGTTGGATACTTTGGTCACAGCTGTTTCAACAGAGTGATGAGCGTGGAATCCAGACTGAAGAAGCAGGTCATATAGTTCTTGCTGAACATATCTAATATATATATATATAAAAAGGATCTTGAGGAAGACCCGAATGGGTCGAAACATCGATCAGATAACTGTAACCCCTTGATGGAATAAATACTTTTCTAAGACTGAAGAGTGCATCCTTTTTATATATTGTATATAACTCCAGCGTGGGATTGCACCAGGGCATTTAAATTAACCATTGAGTTACTAGCAAGGGTGAGTGCCATTACACTTGTTCCATATATATATATATATATATATATATACGTACATACACTATGTGGACTTAATTCTTGAATTCAGGTGTTTCATTCAGACCCATTGCCACAGGTGTATAAAATCACAGACCTGGCCATGCAGTCTGCATTTACAAACATTTGTGAAAAAAATTGATCATTCTGAAGAGCTCAGTGATTTCAAGCATATAATGAGAGCTTCATGGAATGGGTTTTCATGGCTGAGCAGCTGCATGTAAGGTTCACATTTCCAAGTGCAATGCCAAGCACACAACCACTGGACTCTGAAGCATTTGAAACTTATTCTGTGGAGTGACAAATCACTATTCTCATTTTGGCAGTCTTATGGACCAGCCTGGGTTTGGCAGGCGCTTGGAGAACGTTACCTGCCTGACTACTTTGTGCTAGCTGTAAAGTTTGATGGAGGAGGGATAATAGGGGTTGGACTAGGCCCCTTACTAACAGTGACAAAAAAATTTAATGCTTCGGCATATCAAGACATTTTGGACAATGCTATGCTTCCAACTGTGCCCCAGTGCATAAAGAAAGGTTCATAAAGAGTTTAGTGTGGACGAAATTGACTGGCTGCACAGAGCCCTGACCTCAACCCCATAGAACACTTTTGGGATAAAGTGAAACGAAGATTAAAAGGCAGGACTTCTCATCCAACATCAGTGCCTGACCTCACAAATGCTCTACTGCATGAATGAGAGATACAGGGTGTCCCAAAAACTGTATACACACTTTGAATGATTATAAAGTCAGTGTTTCTTAACATTAACAATTTTAAAAATTTAAAAGAATCTACAGAAATTAATATTTTTTTCTTGGCAATGCCTCAATCCATGGAAATAGCTTTTAACATACCATATTGAAATGGTCATTGTTCATCGGGTTAGTTGGTAATGTTGTTGAGTGTCTTCATAGCGTGCCTATGATTGTTTTTCATCATATTATTGTAGTATGATTACAGGAATGCTTATAATGTAATGCTTTATTACAGTGTCAGTATGGTGGAGGATCCCTTTCTGTACTTTACATCCTTGAAGCATTGGAGTAACCCACTATACTCTAATTCTCATGGGCTTTCGAGAAGCTGTGGCCTGCAACTTTCACATCATTCTCAGGTTTCTCCATCAGTTACATTCCACAGCATTTTGAGAACAAGTACCCTATTCCTGTACCAGAAACCCCTTAAATCTAGTACTCTTTAAAGTTAGAAAAAAGAGAAGAAAAAGCACAGAACATACACCCGTAAAGAAACAGATGTAATGAACTGAGTATACCTGGAAATGATGAATTAGTCTAGAAAAAAAATCTGTCAATACATATATTATGAAAGGGCTAAATATATTTGCTCCCTGCTTGATATATTAGATACGATAATGAGAATACTGCAGTGACATATTGAGCCAGATTCATTAAAGCTCATAGTAGTTGTCTACAGTATTGCTTCGATAGAGCATGATATATGATTACCATCCAGGGTTTATGTTTTTTCTGTCTACTTTTTTAGTTTTGATACATAGGGATATTTAGCCCTTTCATAATATATGTATTGACAGATTTTTTTCTAGACTACTTCATCATTTCCAGGTATACTCAGTTCATTACATCTGTTTCTTTAAGTGTGTATTTTCTGTGTTTTTTCTTCTCTTTTTTCTTTTTTTAAGTAGTTGGGGTTAAGCCCCTGGAGATCCCTGGAGTCTCCTCTTTGGTACAGGGAAAGTTTGTCTCCACTGGGAACGCCAATTTCGATAGGTGTTGTACGGTGGAGATTGGCTTTTCCTTTTATATACTTTTCTCTTTAAAGTTAGCTCTAATTATCTGAGTCCCCATATTATTTTTATTATTATTATTATTAATATTTATAAAGAATCAACAAATTCCACAGAGCTGTACAATAGGTGGCCTAACAGACAAGTATTTGTAACAAGATGAGTTGAGGACCCGGCTCAAACGAGCTTACATTGTAGAGGGGGTGGGGTGAAGTGGCACAAGAGGTAAGAGTAGAACGTATGAAACAAACAAACAAAAAAAACAACAGCACTCTCGTCCCTGAAGAAGTCCTTTGGGACAAAAGCGGTGGATACAGATATTTTGTTTTTATTTTATATTTTTTTAGTTTTATTTATTTTATTTGAACTATGTGTCTGTCTGTCTGGCTGTTGGATAGCGCAGTTCTCCTATCACTCCTTGGTATCACTGGATGTGGAGACATGTATTTAGATGTCTACTTTCTTGTAAGTGCAATACCTTATCAATAAATAGTTGAAGTCCATGCTATCTGCACTATTTATTTGCTCTTTTCTACTTATTTATGTCTCAAGAGGATTAACACTCCAGATTACAGTTTCATCTTCCATTGATTACTCTCTTTAAAGGGAGACAAGCATGAATCATATTAAATTCTGTGAGTTCTCTAACATCCCCCCACTCCAATTTTTTGTACTTTATTGCACTTTGTATAGCCTTCTTTTTTACAGATGTGAACACTAAATATACATTGTAAATTTCACTGATATGGTTGTATTCATTTTATTTATTCAATAATATGTGATTTTTCACTCCCGATTGTTCTTGCTAAGAGTAACTTTAACCTCCTTTGTGTCCTTTTGTTTTTTGTTTTTTTAGATTACTAGAATAGTTTACAATAAAAGCTTAGTTTTTTGGATTAACACGGTTGCAGGAAAAGAAGCAAGGTGGGTTTCCAAGGTGCGGGGAGGGAAAGCAGTTTAGTTGATATGCTTTTATAATACTCCTTTGTCTATCGCCATCCAAGTCAACGGCGCTACTATCACCTCTACCGCCCAGGCTCACTGCCTAGGAGTTCTTTTTGATTCTGATCTCTCTTTTACTCCCCATGTTCAATCG